ATTTTTTGACATCGAATTTTAAACACCGAAATATTTGACGTCGAATTTTTTTCACTTGAATTTTTGGGATCTGAATTTGAACAATCACATTTTTTTAACTTGAATTTTTACATTTTTATTTCACATAGGTAAATTCGGAGCAAGAAAAATTCAGATGCATGATTTTCAAAGTAATTATTTTCAATGCTATAAATTTGGTGTCTGATAAAATTCAAATACTTCTGTCTCTTGTTTGCTTCCATACTCAATATGTTTCTTGGCTGTTCTTGTTGTGAAAACAAATGGACCGTAGATACACAGATTGAAGGTAACTTCCGGTAGCAGAATATGAAATAAACTGTAGTTTTTTGGTTTCTGTTTTCTATTGATTTTATTTTTTGTTTTGAGAAGTAGAAAATGAAAATCATCCCGTTTTTTAAGTTGAGTAAATCCCTTTTTGACCATGATAAAGAAAAATGCCTTTTTCAATTTTAAAACGAAAATCAAATATCCAGTCTTTTTTTGTTTCTGAATATCCATTTGTAAAAAGAAAATCCAATGAACAAAACATACCCTCTGGCTTTAGAATTCCATCCTTCAACCACAGTTAATGACAAATAGAAAAGCTTTTTGTTTTGTAATACAATTCCTGCTGGATTTATTTCCAGGAGCATCCGTTCCCTAATAAAACTTGGGACACGTGTGCTGTTGTCGGGAATGGAGGGATTCTGACAAACAGCAGCTGTGGAGGCATCATTGATTCAGCACAGTTTGTTATCAGGTGAGAAAGCTGTTAATATTAGAGGACTGAAAGGCTGATGAAAATGTCATCGACAGAAATAAACTTGTCTCGGTCTTTCATTTTATGAAAGAATCTTTACATGTCGTTTTTGTTGTCTTTTCAGGTGCAACCTACCTCCTTTAGGAAAAGGCTATGAGAAAAATGTGGGCACCAAGACTGACATTGTGACAGCCAACCCAAGCATTTTCCTAGAGAAGTAAGCAAATAAATTAGTCTCACTGCACCAATAGAGTGTTCCCCTTGTGTTGTTTCTTGACATCTCCTTTTTATTTTCAGGTATGGGGCTCTAATGGGGCGTCGGCGTCCATTTGTGGAGAGTCTACATAGCTACGGCAAGTCTCGTCTGCTTCTTCCCGCCTTCTCCTATGGCCACAACACTCCTGTGTGCATGAGGGCAGTATACAGCATTGAAGACTTTGAGAGTCCCATCCAGCCCATCTTCTTCAACCCTGAGTACCTTCAGAGCTTGGCCCTCTTCTGGCGCTCCCGAGGCTTACGAGCAGTGCGCCTCAGCACAGGCATTATCATGGCTAGCATAGCGCTGGAACACTGTGCCAACGTGCATCTGTACGGGTTCTGGCCCTTCAGTAATCACCCACATGGACTCCATGCACTGACTAACCACTACTACGATGACAGACAAACTAAAACTAAATTTCACTCCATGCCTGCTGAGTTTGACCTCTTGTTGCAGCTGCACAGTCAGGGGGTGCTCAGACTTCACTTGGGAGACTGTCAACCAGGTGAAAAGTAGTTCCCAGGTCCAAATTAGCTGGCAGGACAGTGTCAAAGTGCCTTTTTGTAGCCCAGTCACTCATGACGTTTTTCATATAATTTTGGAATGAATGTACATATGTATTCTGGCTGAAACATGGAATTGGTTCATGCAAAGTAGATTTGTGAATTTAGATGTAATGCTGAATCATTTACCAGGACATTTGCACTGATATAAAAAAGAAACAATCTTAAGACTAGCATTATTTTAACAGTCTTGTGGTGTGTGTAAAAATGTATTTATTACCAAAAATGTTCCAGCTGGAGTCTGGAGGGAGTTGGTTTGATTTAAAGGTCCCCTATTATACTGTTTTTCATCAATATATAATAGGTCTCAGATATATACAAAACATGTCTCTGAAGTGTTTAGCTTTAAATACCCAACAGATTGTGCATTGTAGCATCCCATAAACCCCTCTGTTTCAGCCCTGTTTCAAAAGTGCTGATTCTCTGTCTGTTACTTCAGATGAAAATAAGGAGCCACTCCCCACGCCCCTCTGAGAGATATTTGGTTAAAAAGAACACAATGGTGCTCTAGGAGGAGATTCAGGTGATAAGGTGGGCGGGTGTTACCTTGGTTTGTTATTGGCTAATGGTTACACAAGCCAAAAAAATCGTTATGACATCATAAAATGGCCAAAATCTGATCAGCTAATTTTCAGACAGGTTTTTATATAAATGGATCAGAACAAAAAGTGAGAGAATCTTTTTTCCTGAAACTTTTAGAATCCCATTACACAGAGGGGACACATGTTTATGTATAAAAGACATGAAGAAGTGGATTTTGCACAATAGGGGACCTTTAAATGGAATCCTTTGTAGAAACCTTGGGAGGGTTTAGTGCCTTGTTTTGCATCAAACGTAATGTTTTCTAATGAAATACCTCCTTAACAGGAAGATTGTCTTTCTAAAACACTTTAGTTTACATTTAAGTAAATAGTAATCTTTTGACATTTGTGTTATACATTGCATAACAATCTTAACCATTCTAACATTTTCAAGGGGAAATGTATGGTACTCACACATATTACCGTACTTTATTCACTGGTGCTGGTTGTGGAAGAGGATTTTTACAATGTTCTTTCCTCTACGCGTCACTGACACTGCTGGATGTATTAAGGCACAATTTAAGCCTCATACCTCATAGGTTGTGTCCCAGTAGCCTCAACTACGAACCATCAGGGCTACCCTCTGTGGGACCTGCGGTCATCAGAGGACCCTATTGTCTCAGAACCAAGGACTAAACAAAGACACAACAGAAAGAAACAGTAATAATTACATTACCAAACACAGGAGGACCCTCCTCACAAAAGTCCCTCTGCTGAGCCTGTTTTACAATGTGCTACCCCTTCTTACCACAGTGACAAAAATATCGTTGGTCATAAGATTGCAACATTCACATGTTAATACAATGAACATTTGGAAATTAATACTTTTCAAGTTTATGTAATTGCTAAATCAATGACTGACTCAAATATAAGGTGATATAATGATTGTGAATTGTGCTCTTTTGATGAAAATGTTCATCTTTGGGTAAGAAGTCACATTTGCATCAAAACTTAAAGTGAGTCTTATGTAACTGGGAGTATTGTCTTTCATGTTGATACTCATGAAGTCTTAACATTTGACAAGCAACGACAAAACTTGAAAACTATCGGAAAGCCAGTTTTAGAATTGTGTGATTTTTTTTTAATGCATTTGATGCGAGGGAAAAATGAAGTCAAACTGAAGCAATGAATAAATATTTATTACAAAAAAGTTGTCGTTGTTGTTGCTAGAGTGGAATTTATTCAATTCATTCAACTAACCAGGCAACCATTTTTTCCCCCCAGACATCTCAGCTTGCACAATGAAGTGCCTGCCAAGATTTCACATTGGAATACATTGTAATTTCTGCATACAAACCACACATTCGCCTGAAAAACCAAATAATCCACTGATTTATTAACATAGTTTTGCAAAGTTATTATATGCATTATTTTCTTGATTTAATTTATTTTACGTCACATAGATCATTTTTGAAAACCAAATGTTAACTATTAAACTGGGAAATGTATTTAAATGCATGGATTCACAATGTATTAGTTGGTTATTGGCTTCACTCACTTACATTTCTAATTTCAGTCCCTACAGTGCAATTGTTTTACCTGGACAGTTGATCAACCCCCATTCCCCTCCACAAAACATCCTTTCCTCACTTCTCTGTGGGCTCCCTCATTTGACAGGGGGTTGCCCTCTAGTGGCTCCAACTGTAAAGCATCACTCTGAGCCTGTCACCCATGTATAACTTGCTTCGTTTGCTTCCCTTCAACAAAAGACAATGAAAAATAGTTACGATTTTTTTTGCACTTGGGAAGAATTAAAGGATGGCTGCTGATTGGCCGCCATGGACTGACTGGGAAACTCTCAGTAAATCACCAGTGGCTTATTCGGGTGGAAGCAGTATCACTGGAGCCAGAGAACCAATTCGCAGAGGGAAAGAAAAAAGCAATAACAGAGAGCTGAAATTAAGTCTGGAACCACTTCCTTTCCATTCCTTCTCCCAACAATAAGGCAGATGTTATGTATGGTCTATTTTCCTCAAGAAGAAAGTATTCCCTGAATATAATATTTTGACATGAATCATTTACAGTTATTCTGATGGCCTGATGGCAATGCTATTTCACAGATGGTTAACTTTCCTTAATAACCCTCTATCTGTATTGCTACTATCACCTCACGATGCATTGTATTGCATGAGTATCCAGTATCCAAAAAGATGGAGGGGGCGGACATATAGAAGATGGTTGGACCAAAGACACATGAGGAAGACTAAAGCAGTTCAACAAACTATAGGATATCAGTTCTTATACCCATTTGACGCAAACAGAAGGGGAAAGACACAGACAAAGTGCAGAGAAGACAGAGGAGAAAAGAGGCAAGATAAAGGCTACAAACTGAGGAGAGAGCAGAGAATCCAAAGTTTGACATCTAGATACAAGGTGTGTGTGGGCAGAAGGTGAGGGGACGAGTGTGTTTGCAGAAAGAGATCGGGATGAAGCGACACCATGAGAAGTTATCCATCTCTTTGATGATCACTCTCTGTTTGGGGAGCCTGCTGACCACTGCCCTCTGGATCATTTTGGACAACAGGTAAGCGTGTCAGTACTTGTACACAAATCTAGCTTGATTCATCCCACAAAACTAAGAAGGCAAAGATACTAGCAGGGAAATCTGTTGCATTTTGACAATGTTGGCAATCAGTTAAATTTGAATTACATGTACGCCTGATTATAAGCTAAAGAAGCTGTACAAATGCTGTTAAGACATAAACATTGATTATAGCTCATCACTGAAAAAAATTATACTGTGGACCAACTTAAACATTTATTGCTAATTCGTTAGAGCTAATAATTTTTAGTTGATCCCAAATCTTTTTTTATGATTTGGTGGAACTTTAAAATGAAAGGTACAGAAAGTAAAAAATATTGATTCTGTCGGACAGAAATTTACATTCACAAAAAGTAATACGATTATTGTTATGAACTTGGATTCACAAGGGGAAAAGGATTCAAATGTATGACCCGGCAGCCAGAGATAAAGTATAAGCAATATAGCCTACTTGTATTTGCCAAAAGGATATACAAAAAGAAAAAACACTCTTTACGAGGTGAAAAAAATAAAGAGTTTCAATAAGGCTCAACAAAATACGCTCACAACGTGAGGAACAAAACTTACAAAAAGTTTTCAGGAGCTTGAATCCGGCATATGTCAAGAGAATCAAAAACTGATGAGGACAGGACAAGACCAACTGACAACAAAAAGAGGGAAACAGGGGAATATAAACAGGAAATAACTGGGAACAGGTTAAAACAATCAGGGGCGGGGCTGGTGCTCATGAAGGTGGGAGAAAACATTAGGAAAGGGAGTCAAGGAACCTGAAATGAGAAGTGACAAATGGGTGACAAAACAAAACAGGAAGTGAAAGACAATAAAAGAATAACAACATGAAACTGAAGTTACCTACTGTAACTCCAGCTTCTATGAGTATAGGCGTAGCCCTCTAATGACGCATTTCCACTACACGGCCTCGCTCGGTATAGTTAGGCCTCGTTAGGACTGGCTCACTTTATGGCGCATTTCCATTACAGTTTAGGAACTGGGGTAGTAACTATAGTAACGCAGTGTAGGCGGAGCCGTGACGTCATCTTCAATGAGAGCCCCAGAAAAACAACACAGCCGTTAGCTGTTGGCACTCAGAGCTCACAGCTCCTCATCATATCTGTTCGGAAACTAGACAAAAGTTAAACAAGTACAAACTACAGACTGTCTGTGTCATGGAGAATACAGTCGCTGGTTTATTTATGTCTGTAGGCCGTTGTGAGTGTGGACGGTCGGGGCATTTACAACGTTAGCTTAGCCAATCTCCATTTAGAAAACGCATTTTAAAAGGTTTTTCGCCTGCCGTCTGTCTGCAGACTTGTCAAAGCATTAATTCATGGTTTTTACTAACCGGTATCAGTATGTTGTTACTTCAGCATCATTTTGAAACGTGTATTACAATGAAATCACGGTCAAATATGTTCATCTTTTTGTAGTTGTAGCCCCCTTGACAGCGATTCTCTCTCTAGTTTAGCATACTCAGCCCGACTCAGCCCACACTAAATCAAGCCCCTCAGATCGTAAAAGGTACGTAAAGGAGGGGAAGACGAAAGAAAGAACATACCTTATAATTCAACATTAGACATAAAAAACATGAAACCGAACGCTAAAATCAGGAACGGAAAGAACCCGAGGAAAGAGGGGGGGGTGGAAAAGACGGGGTCTAGAGGGAGGGGAAAAAAGAATTACTGACGGAAAAAGGAAGAAGGAAATGGTCAAAACTTGACCATCACAATTAAACCGAGAACGGGATCACGGGGTTCAAAACCGGGATTAGATAGGTCCGTGGTGAGCAAAGGGAAAGTGGGGGGGACTACGACCTCCCGTGGTCGGTCTTGACGGTCTAGATACGGGCGGGAAGACACGTCCCAGAATTGTCCGGGAATACTAAAGTCCGGAGATACTCGTTACAAGAAGAGATATCAACCAACAACCTAAACATGGTCATACGAAACATTATACCGCTGGGGGGTTACCTTTAGACATTCGTATATGTTGGGTGGGGATAGGGACGCAGGAACGTGGAGAAGTTGGGGGTGGACGGTTAGGGATAATTAATGGTCCGTTCTAAAAGACGACATATGTGGGGGGAGAACGGACTGATTAAACTAGGGTCTACCGGGAACGGCAAAAAACATTTATCTATAAAAATTTCAGACGCCCTTGACATATACGGTTGGGAGAATTGTGCGAGAAGGGGAACAAGAAAAAATCCCCTCGGGTAGACCATATTTTACACATCATTAAAACATCCATGGGAAAAGCGAAGTCTATGTACTGAACGAAATAAGGGTGGAAAGTAAATAAACGGGTGGAAAAAAGGAA